CCCGGCCCGGCCCCGCTCCCGCCGCCTCGCACCTGGGGCGCGGGAGCAGCCGGGCTCGGGGCGGGGAGCAGCTTTTCCCTAACGGGATTAAGCGGCTCTCGGTTGACTTTTTCCGTGCTAAGTACTTTCCGGGAGAGTGCGATACTACGTGGGAAGTGGGAGAGATGTCACCGATGAATCAGGGTTTTTGTTTACCCGGGTTTTTTCCCCTTAGGAGGGGCGCTGTCGTGTGTCCGTCTCCCCCTCATCTCCCCCCCCCCCCCCGGGCGCACACCCCCAACGGCGGGGGCTGGGGCTGCCTTTGTTACACACAGAATTCCTGAAATCTTTATGTTGGCACATCGCGAGTGGATTCCAGCCGTGCCTTGGGCTTTGGCTAACTGGGTCAGGGGAAGTTTCAAGTTAACAAGGAACTGTAAAACAAAGGAACAGGCAGTTCCAGGAACCGAATGCTTGATTGCCCTGTTAAAGTGCCTTGGCATCGGCCTTGTTTGGCCTGCTGGAGTCCAGGTACATTAGATTTGCATCGTGGAGTGTCAAGGTTGATGTAGTAGTGGCATGCACTTGCTTTATTAGACAACTCTGCCCTTGCTTTCCCCCTACTTGAAGCCTGTTTTCCCCTGCATATTTTCCCAGGATGAAAAAGTACGTGCTGTCTGAACATAACTTGTGTCAGAGTGTTGTTCAGATTGTTTCAGAATGGTTACCTGAAAACTTTCACACCTCCAATGTTACTTTCTAATAGTTACTCACTTAAAATAGCCAGAATCTCTGAATAATCTGTTCCCTAGTCTTGATTTATAAACTGGTGTTGAATCCAACAGCTAGGATGGTATCTGAAAGCTCTCAGCCCCACAGCTGTGCTCCAGCAGAGGCCACCAAAGGTCTGCTTTGTTTTAATCTCTGGATGTAATTATCAAGGTGGGATGGTTTGAAACAAATTAAAATGACTTACCTTTTCTTTTGCTCAGCAGATTTTTATTTTAAAGGTTTAGGACTGTGATTCAGCTGTGGTTGAGAGAAAAAAGAAAAACATGTGCTATGACTGATGAAATCACTTCTTTTGTTTCTGAAGTATTCATAGTCTAAGTATCCATCTGTAAGGTCGTGCAAGCAATGACCCTTGTCAGCATCCTTGAGATCTGCATGGCAAGGATCAGGTACTGGAAAGCATGGGAAGTTTGCTTGTGTAAACTGATATTCATTGATAGATCATCGGGCTGCTTGAAGAGACTTTGAAAAGCTTTGCATGTGGTAAGCGTGTGTGTGCCATTTAGACATGGTCAGTAAGATTTATACTTGGTGCCTATGAGGGCTTTCATCAGGCTTCTGGGGAAGCTTTCTGCATGTATGTGACTTTTAGGCAAGTTTACTGTTACAGCTGCTTCCAGTCTGTTATATGCAAACATGTTCTTAAGCCCTAAACATTGCATTCAGATAGCAGTAGTGACTCCTCTTCCCTTTGCAAAGGGAAGTCACAATGGATCGGAGAAGCTGCGTCTAACTTTAATTGCATTCTGCATTCCCCTGTATGACAATATCAGTAACTGCTGCTGTGCTCAGTGCCACTACACTGGGGTTTTGTGAGACTGAAGATGAGTATTGGGAATTATGTAGTGGGGTTGGGATGATCCCAATACTTCGCATGAACTATAATCTCAACAGAGCTCTTCAGAATGAAGCATCAAAGTAATTAAGTGTCTGATACTTTTTTGATTGCTTAATCCCCCCCTTTCCTGGTTCAGTGTCTTCTAAGGACAACCAGGAAATCTTTCTTAGTGATTAAAATAAT